GCAACGGCTCACTGTTAGAATTACAATACCGCTATTGTTACTTCCTATGCAACGGTCTGTTCCTAGCGTTTCCATGGAAGTAACCATTCTGGATTCCAAACATGTGACAATATGTTCAGGGAAGTTCAAAAATAGATTTCATATGTCTTTTTAGGCAAAACACTAACTTGCACTGTTCACGCAAATGTAGAAAGTTCAGGATTAGCTGTCTGTGTACCTACTCTCTCACAGCTGATTTTCCAAATCTAGAATGCTTTGACTTTAAATCCATTTTAAAATGACCTTAATGTTTGACTCGAGGCCAATATGTATCTACTGTCATCTATACTAGTGCTACATGTGGCAGTTTGTGATTGCTGATAGTGGCAATGTGATCATTAAGGTCATAATGCACAGAAAAAGCAAATAGTTGTCCAAATTATTGCAAATTCTGAATTAATGAGGTTTCACTGCATAAGATTTACTAAATATTAGAGGCTGAAATAATTTCATTCACATTATCATCATTAATATTATCTCATCAGTGTGACACTGCTTTCATTATTATTCTCCTGTCACTATTCTTATTTTTCTCTAGTCACTGCTCCTTTTACTACTCCTGCAGCTACCACTGTTGCTACATTTAGAAAACTATAAACTAACTGCATACTCACAGAGCAGAGTCCTTCTACAGAGGCTGACAGTTACCCAGCTAGTCTTGAAGTTTCAACTTTCACGGAACCCAAAGATTCATTATCATATTCACACAAGCCTATCACTGATCCCTATCCATAAAAAGATGAATCCAGTCCACAGGCTCACATCTTATGTCTATAAAATCAATTTTAATATTATCCTCACATTTTTGTCTTCAAGTGACCTCTTTTTTTAAGTGACACACTCTGTTCAGGTTTTTCTGCAACATCTCTGCAGTTATATTCTGATATTTCAGGCTCCTGAGGCAGTGAATATCAAGGTTATAGGGGTCATTCCATGTGAAGTCATCCAGAGAGGTCGCCAACCATTTTTAAAAAAAAAATCATATTTTGTACACTTATTTCTACATATTTTCACACTTCAAAAATATTTTAAAATAAAATGTAATCTGCTAAGTTCCCCTGGTACAGCCGTTTTTATAATGTGATAAAACGCGTTTTTGGCTCAAATGGAGGTTTGCATAATCTTCTGTATCTTGATAACTATTGAAGGTAGAGACTCCATGAAAACCCAATTTGTTCCTCAGGATATGGACTATAAATCATGTCATTACAAGGATTAACTCAACTCACTTGCTCTAGGTCTAATTAAGCTCGAAACTTACCTATCAATTTTGGGAAAAACGCTATTTTTCACCTTCAAAAACCAATGGGAGGGGGAAAGTATCAGATCTGTGGTTTCTACCCTTTGCTGTTTCCTACATGGAGAATATAATCACATAGGTTGAACCCTATACCTAGTTTCCAAAATTTTCCAGGAGTTTTCAAACTTTGCTCTGGACCCAAAATCGGCCATTTTTAATATCTCATATCTCCTGTGGAGAAGCTCCAAAAAATTGAAATTCCTAGAAAATAATGCTCTATTCTAGAGTAACTTGGAGTTAAAATTACAACTTTTATATTCAACTAGTAGCGAAGTTGTGGGCATTTTTAATTTTACAGATTTTTCGTTTCTCGTTCAAGAGGAGATTCAAAGTTTCCTCTGGGTAAATCAACAGGCTACACTTCACCCTTTTGTGTAGTACTACAAGGCGGACAGTATAACAAAATGCCGAAGCTTGTGTATA